GCTTGAAGAAGTTAGTTAGCCTGAGAGAAATATTCAAGGCTTTATTTCGAAATTTTTATTAAGCTTAATTTAAAATTGCCAAACTAATCATGTCTGTAACAGTGGTTGCTTACAATCAGTTATAAAAAGCCCAAACACAATGTAATTCTAAAGGCCAGCTCATTCCTCCTCAGCAGTAACTGACAATTCCGCCATGATGTAGTTCTGACAATCAGCTCTGACCTCTTTTGTAGGCACTGAGTGTTCCGCCATGTTGTAGTTCTGACAATCAGCTCTGACTCTTTTGTAGGCACTGAGTGTTCCGCCATGTTGTAGTTCTAACCTTCAGGAATTGTAGTTCTAAAGAGGAGGTCAACTGTCATGTCAGTGTGACACACAAGGAGAGACTTAATTCTAAATGCTTGAAGATGTTAGTTTTTCTGATAGGCCTGAGAGAAATATTCAATTTTTTATTTTGAAATTTTCATTAAGCTTCATTTTAATGTCCAAAATAATCCAAAGTTTAACAGTGGTTTTGTTAAAAAAGTCACATAATGCCCAAGAGAGCAATTACGTGATATAAAAGAATCTCAGGGCTTTTATTTTGAAATTTTCATTAATCTTAATTTAAAATGTCCACACACATACTGTGTGTAAACAATGGTTGCTTAAATCAGTTATAAAAAGCTCAAACACAATGTAATTCTAAAGGCCAGCTCATTCTCCTCAGTAGTAAAACTGACAGTTCCGCCATGTTGTAGTTCTGACAATCAGCTCTGACTCTTTTGTAGGCACTGAGTGTTCCGCCATGTTGTAGTTCTAACCTTCAGGAATTGTAGTTCTAAAGAGGTCAACAGTCATGTGTGTGAGGCAGAGACAGATTTCTATCTTTGTGAGACAGCTCAGTCAGTTATAATGGAAAAAGCAGCCCGAACAACTCCTTGCCGTTCGGAAACCGTGATACGTATCGGAAAACCGTTTGAAGCGTATGAGAGAGCTATTTTTTGTCTCCGATAGTCCTGCAAATCATATCTGTAGCTCATTCATAGAATTACAGCGATGAGAGAAAAATGGTGTGCGCTGAGGTCTGAAATTTTCCAGAAAAGTATGAAAATATATGGTGGAGAGCGTCAGTTAGGCTGGAACTGATTTGCTCTAAAGCACCTTGACAGAAAACCGTAAGCCCTAGAAAAATTTTGAAAACATTTTACCGGAGCAAACATTCGTATCGAGTCATGACCGGGTTTGAGACCGATTGCACGATATTTGTGGGCGTGGCGGCGATTTCAAAATTTATTTGGGGTCAGAAATTCACTTCATTTTTCACTCTAGCGGAGCGGCAGTTGGTGGCAGTTATGCTCTGCGTTTCGGCAGTTGAAATTTCGCTCGTTTTTCGCTTTTACGTCGCCGTCGTAACGCCGATTCCCCATAAAAGTAATAGCTCCAATGCCGGGAACGAGCCGCACGTTTTGATACCACTTTTGTGGGTGGGCTCGCAGCGGTGCGAGTCGCATTCGGTCTACGGAGAATATTATAATAATAATAATAAAGAGACATTCTATTGGGTGAAGATTAATAGGTGCCTGCCATGCAATGCATGGAGGCAGTGACTGACTTGCTTCGCAAGTCAGTCACTGCTCTCCTTATGCATTGCTATGGGCAGGCCCCAATAATAATAATAAAGAGGCGTTTCTATTGGGTGTAGATTAATAGGTGCCTGCCATGCAATGCATGGAGGCAGTGACTGACTTGCTTCGCAAGTCAGTCACTGCTCTCCTTATGCATTGCTATGGGCAGGCCCCAATAATAAAGAGGCGTTCTATTGGGTGAAGATTAATAGGTTGCCTGCCATGCAATGCATGGAGGCAGTGACTGACTTGCTTCGCAAGTCAGTCACTGCTCTCCTTATGCATTGCTATGGGCAGGCCCCAATAATGAGATACTATCTCAAAATAATGCGTAGTATCTCAAAATAATGAGATACTATCTCAATATAATGAGATAGTATCTCATATAATGAGATAGTATCTCAATATAATGAGATACTATCTCAATATAATGAGATAGTATCTCAAAATAATGAGATAGTATCTCAATATAATGAGATAGTATCTCAAAATAATGAGATAGTTTCTCAATATAATGAGATAGTATCTCAATATAATGAGATAGTATCTCAAAATAATGAGATACTATCTCAAAATAATGAGATAGTATCTCAAAATAATGAGATAGTATCTCAATATAATGAGATAGGAGACTGTGGAGGTTGAACCCCTTTCGAATTGGTTCAGTCCACCTGGACCGATTTGACGGTACCATCGGTCGCTGCCGCCTGGAATCACCTAGCTAAATGTAGCTATTTACAACGGTAAGAATTGTGGTTTTGTTAATTTAAATTAAGTCTGCAATATAGCTAGCATAGTATAAAGTAATCAATTTGTTATACTGACGACGGTAGCTAATTTGAAGATATCAAAATTAGCTACCGGTTTCTGTTTCTTCACTTCGTCAGTGCACAACTGACTTTTCGTTGATTGTAGTTAATATCTGAGGATTACGTGGTACGTTTATTTGCTGTAATGATACATGTTCAGTCTACCACAAAGTGTAATAACTGGTGAGTAGTTCCTAGATGCTGCATCACGCTCCCAAACCATTGCGACGCCAAAACGATACCTCTAGCCTATGTATTTTTTTAAGTTAAACTAAAATATGTCGTGGCATTTTATGTCACGTACTCTGTCAGAATCTCTCTCTTTTATTAAATTTTAAATACTTTATGTACCTGGTCCCCAAGCAAATAAATAAATAATAAATAATTGTTTTGTCTGTTTGCAAATCAATTTCTTTGATTTAATCAGTAAGTTCAAGTAACAACACAAACATTATGTGCTTGGTTTTGTACAGTGCAGGTTGTTTCAGAAAGAGAAGAGTGGATGGTGTGCACCAGCTGGATTTTCACAAGCCTTAACTCATCACACAAGCGGTAATAAGTGACTTCTCTGCTATAGTGTGTTTCTCCAGTTCTCCATTGAAAGACCTTTATGCTCCTCAGACAGCTTCATTTTATGTTTTCTTTCCTTTTCTACTGCTAAAGACATTGTCAGTATGGAACGGTACAGTTCTTTGTTATTACCAATAAATTTTTCTTATCTTTTCTGTGAATTTAAAGAGGTTTCTCAAGATGTGTCCATTTAAACCACTGTATATGCATAAATTTGTGTAATTACACAAATAAAATAACTGTGGTAATAGTTATTATAAAACAAAAGTTTAAAAAGATGCATTCCATTTTCTGTTCACCCTTGTTCCTATTGGGTTGGGAGTTGCTGCTGCCTCTCCAGCTTCGTTCCAGGCGAGAGGTGGGGTCACCTGGACAGGTTGCCAGTCTGTCACAGGGCAACATAGAAACAAACAGGACAAACAACCATGCACACACACACACTCACACCTAGGAGAATTTGGAAAGACCAATTACCCTGACAGTCATGTTTTTGGACAGCGGGAGGAAGCTGGAGTACCCGGGGAGAACCCACCATGCACAGGGAGAACATGCAAACTCCGTGCAGAAAAGACCCCGGGCAGGGAATCGAACCTATGACCTTCTTGCTGCAAGGCAACAGTGCTAGTAACTGCACCACTGTGCAGGCCCCCTAGTAAAATCATTTCACAAAAAAATAAATAAATTGCGCTTAAGGAATTATGAATGTCCCTGCCCGGGGTCTTTCTGCATGGAGCCTGCATGTTCTGTGCATGTGTGGGTTCTCTCCGGGTTCTCCAGCTTCCTCCCACAGTCCAAAAACATGACTGTCAGGGTAATTGGTCTTTCCAAATCTCCCTAGGTGTGAGTGTGTGTGTGCATAATTGTTTGTCCTGTCTTTCTCTGTGTTGCCATGTGACAGACTGGCAACCTGTCCAGGGTGACCCCGCCTCTCGCCCAGAACGCAGCTAGAGATAGCACCAGCACCTCCCAACCGCACTAGGGACAATGGTGTTAGAAAATGGATGGATAAATGGCATTATGAATTATAATTAATTTTCAGGAAAATTATAATTTGTATATGACTTGCTTTACATTTTATTGGAAACATGATGGTCTTGTGTATCTTCACCTTCCAGTGTATGATCACAGAATGGATGACCTGAGTGATTTCCTGAGACAAAGAAATATTCCTGAGGAAACTATTGAGACCATGCTGAGAGAGAAGGTACAAGCTAAAAAATAAATCAGTATTTCAAAACTACAGTTTGTTAAGGCATGTGTCTAGCAATGTTATATAATTGAATTCAAATAATTTGCATGCAATTCTAGTTCCATAAGTTTTAAAATAAATTATTTTTTATCTTCTTGTTTAGATTGATAGCAGTGTCATCCAACTCATGACAGATGAAGAGCTAAAGAGTTATTTGCCATCATATGGAGACCGCATCGCCCTATTAGGATACTGTAAAAGGAAGGAAACTGGTCCCCCAACAGTCGCAAATCAAAACTGTTTGAGCGCCTGAAATCAAAGCTGGGTAAAAGGAAAACTGCTCATCAAGATGGTTGTGGTCTGGAAAAAGAAGAGCCATCTGAAACAAACGTTAAGAAGAATGCTCTGAAGTCAAAGAGAAAAATAGAAATAGGCTGGCTGCTTTATGATGAAGACCAACAGGCTTTTAAACAAGTAAGAGCAAGAAGAGGTGGTGGAACAAGGAAGGTTGATGTTTCAAAGGATGCTAAAAAAAGTGAGATAATCCAAATAGCTGTTGGCATTTTCTTTCCAAATGGAAGAAATAGAGAAGGGTCCATAGCAGATTTTGAAATAGATCTGAAAGATTATCAGGAAGTGGCAGTTGATGACAAAATCACTGTTGGACAAATGTTTCATGTTACAAAACTGACTATTCTCAGGTTTTACCTGACCACCCATAAAAAGAAGGCTAACCAGTCAGTCAGTCAAGATGAAGTTTTGCCTTCACCATTGTTTCAGGATCAAGCCCAGTTCTGTGAGTCGGCCCTCTTCTTCATCTGCTGTTAATGTTGCAATGACCAGCCAATCCACAATGTCCACAGAAGTAACTCCTGACTTTCTATTTATTGGAAACATAACAAATCATGACAATATAAACTTTTCACTTCAGTCTACAGAGCTTAGGGAGGAGGATTTGGATAGCAGTGGCATAGTGTTTCTAGGACCATTTTCTGACAGTGAGCCACAGATTTTGGACGATACTTTGCCAATATCCCCTCAATCCACATCATCTGCCAAAGCAGTGAAGGAGACACTGATAGTTCACAGAGGACAGGTACTTCCTGAGCTCATAGCACATTTCTGTGATGACAGACTTTTAGATAGAGACTTCAAAATCCAGCTAGTACTGCCAGATGGAACTCCTGAGATGGGATATGATGACGGAGGAGTCGTCAGAGACTGTCTTTCTGAATTCTGGAAAGAATTCTATGACCAATGTACTACAGGAAACACTTACAGAGTGCCTTTTCTGAGACATGATTATGGACAGAGCCAGTGGGAGAGTGTAGGCCGAATAATTGTTTTTGGATGGACAAGAGAGAAATATCTTCCTATGAAGATTGCACCTGTCATACTAGAGCAAGCAGCCTTTGGACAGGTAAAAAGTGATGTAGTGGAGAATTTCCTTAAGTGCATGCCTGAATCTGAGCGCTTTGTGTTTCAGTCATGGCAGTCAGACTTCAGCAGTGTTGACCAAGAGGAATTGATAGAGATTCTTGATAACTACAGTTGCAGACGAATGCCAACTGCCAGCAACGTAAATGAAATCCTCCAGGAGCTTGCACACAAAACACTTGTCCAAGAGCCTGCTTATGTTATTGAACAGTGGGCCAAAACACTCAGTAACACTGGGAACAGCTTCCAGGATCTTTCTTCAGTGTATGAAAACTTACAACCAAATGCAAGAAAAGTTTTGAAGTCCATTGTCTTTCCTCAGGAAATGAGTGGTCATCAGAAGGACATTCAAAAGTATGTTAGCACATATCAGGAACGCAGATTTGCAGCATCTGTCCTTGTTTCTAAGGTTCTGCACAGGTTCAGACCTGTTCTTGAATAAGAAAATTCTTATTGATTTTACAAAGATTCAAGGGTTTCTCAGAAGACCTGTGGCTCACACATGTAGCTGTGTCCTCGAGCTGTCAATCTATTATGATAGCTATCCAGATTTCAGTGCTGAAATGAACAAGGTTTTGGACTCTAATGTATGGGTCATGGACATTATTTAAAGATTTTAAAGTGATGGAGGGAGAAAAAAAAAAGAGATTAAGGTGGCTATTTAAAGTAACAAAGTTGCCTATCAAAATCTAAGTAGATGTTTTCCCCCAAAATTCCTTATCAGAATTTAAGGTTTTACAGATAACAATTTACCAGGGTGATGTTACCATTCCCAAATTTCTACAGATGTTATAAAAAGGGATCACTTATTTGTGAGAGGTGAATGTTTGTTTGTGCAGCACAGCTGTTGGTTTGTTTAGGGTAGATTGTCAAAACTCTACCATATATGCACAAGTTCTGCAAATTCAGATCTGTTAACTGTCAGTGGAATGTCAAAATAATGGATTTTTCTTTGTTGAAAGAATACAAAATAAATATATTTTGAATAAAGTGTAGGGTCTGTTTATATTTTGCTGTTGCACTGTAAACATATTTATTGGCCATAATACTGAAAAACATATATACGGTACAGACCAAAAATTTGGACACAACCTGCAAGAAAGCTCATTTACTAACCTGACAGGTCACACCTGTGAGGTGAAAACCATTTCAGGTGATGACCTCTTGAAGCTTATCAAGAGGTCGTCTGTGATTACTGTGATTTGCATTAATCATATTTACCTTTTGCAGTAATCACAGCAAAAGGTTGCTACTTTTGAAGAAACTACAATATAAGGCGCATTTTCAGTTGGTTTACACTTTTTTGGTTTAGTACACGTGTCAAACTCAAGGCCCGGGGGCCAAATCCGGCCCGCCGTAGCTTTTTATGTGGCCCTCCACAGACTACACTAAACACTAAGTGTGATTAAATATAATATTATCAATCCTATCAATGCAGTTTTTTATCTGTTACTGCCAATTTATATCAACCAATCCCTCCAATTTCTTGAGTATTTAGTTGATGTATGATTATAGTCCATGATTTATACAGCGAGTGAATAAACAGTCACATTTATTATAAGTTCCTGAAGGGAAATCTTCAATAATATTATGTAATTTTAAGAATTCATTGACATATTAACCGTTTGTGAACAGGTTTTATCAACTCATTCTGGCACAACCAGCCCTTTAAGAGCCTTCGTGATCTTGATTTGGCCCAAAACGAAAATGAGTTTGACACACCTGGTTTAGTCCATATTTCCACGTGTTAATTCATAGTTTGATGCCTTCAGTGTGAATCTACAATGTCAATAGTCATGAAAATAAAGGAAACTCATTGAATGAAAAGGTGAGTCCAAACTTTTGGTCTGTACTGTATGTCAAGAGTAATGACAACATTTGTACTCTTATCGAATTAATACGAACTGCAAACAATCATGTTGGTAGGAAAATTGTCACAAATGGTTATCTGTTAGTAATAACATGATTAAAACATTGCCTTGTACATATAACACTTTCCCCGACTAAGTAAGGGTAAGAAAACAGAAAACCTGCAAATGCTGCCACTATTTAGTGCTGTTTTGAAGAAGAGGCTTGTATTTTTGCAACAATAAAGAAGATTTAATACATAGAAATTAGTAGATTGACCTTGAACTCAATGTTGAAGGAAACTAAAATGTATTAGTGTTTTTAAATAAACCATAGAAACAAATTGTAACTCATTCATGCATTTAAGTTTACAATCGCAATGTTTACACAGGACATACTGACATAATATCTGACTTGTTAACCTGGGCGATTTAGAGAAACTATTCCCTCAGCCCATCACTGATCATTTGGCGGAGTCTTACATAAAGATTAGTAATTTCATATACATCATCTGTCATTACCAGTCTGTGCTCTGTCATGAGTTCAGTGCATAAGTGAAATACATCGACATCACAGGGAAAGTCCTTGAAATGACATTCTTCTACACATATTTCCAGCTTTGTTAGATTAGCAGACTGTAAAAAGTTTGGAACCCCATACAGGTTGGGAAGACCAGGCATTAATGTGGGACGACCAGGAGGAGCCCGAGGATCATTTGTAGATCGTATTCGATGGTCATTCCATGTATGGACAACTTCATCCAGCTCCATCTGTATGATAAAAAATGAAAAAAATAAAATAAAATAGTTGTTAAAAAAAATTCATGCTTCTGTATTATTTGTAACTTATTTCAATTTGTGTGCTAAAGTAAGAAGTAAATTTATAGTACCTGTATTGTTTGTAAGAAGCAAAACTGGATCAGTGATTTTGTCCAGAAAACTGTCAACAAAATAGCCCAGCTTTAAGCTGGTCGAAATGTTCCATCCAAAACTGGGTACATTCACTTCTTAAAGTGCACCACCATCGCTCTATCCTTTGATTTCCTGTACTCGGACCGAGAATAACAGTCAAAACCATTTTCATTCTCGGTGTGCAGAAATCTTTGCATTGCTGCCACATAAGTGTTCTCTGTGCCATGATCCATTCGTATCTTTTGAGGAAATCCATTATACTCCATCACAGCGTCAATGAAATAGCAATAATGTGAGGATCACTATTAGTCTTATATGCTTCGAGCCAGATCATTTTCCTTGAAAAGCCATCTATGCATCCATTAATACATATCCCATAAGGCTTTAATTTATCGTACCCATCGATGTGCCAGACATAGTTTGGTCCCCGACTGACATATAAGCGTCGTCTCAAGCAATTTTTTGCACGCAGGTCAACCCCGTTGGGATCCAATAGGCGCATCAAAAGACGTACTGTTTCTCTGTCTGTGACTATGCCAGCCATCCAACATTTCTGGTGCATCCACCTGTAGCCGTGCTGTCTCCCAGATCCTTGTAGTTGATGCTCTATAAAAGAGGCCACTTCTGCAACATCTGTCTTATTTTTTCTACGCCAAAGGCGCTTCTTTTGCAGTCTTCTCTCCAGCGTCCGGAGACTTAATTTGACATTATGGGTTTCTTCCAAAACTCCCAAAATTTCAAGATTAGTGAAACCACTTCTGAAGTATTGTTCAGTGATGTTATCAATATCCATTTCTTTCTATCAAGCTGAACATATTTCAAACTATAGGGCCAACTCAAGTTATCTCATTTTAATGAGATAGTATCTCATTATTTTGAAATACTATCTCATTATTTTGAGATAGTATCTCATTATAATGAGATAGTATCTCATTATAATGAGATAGTATCTCATTATTGAGATACTATCTATATTGAGATACTATCTCATTATATTGAGATACTATCTCATTATATTGAGATAGTATCTCATTATTTTGAGATACTATCGCATTATTTTGAGATACTATCTCATTATTTTGAGATAGTATCTCATTATAATGAGATACTATCTCATTATTTTGAGATAGTATCTCATTATAATGAGATACTATCTCATTATTTTGAGATACTATCTCATATAATGAGATAATTTTATTTAATTTTTTAACAGAGTGGCGGAAACGGGCTTCCATAAAAATCTGTGACAAAAAAAAAAAAAAAAAAAAATGTCACAATTCGGACTGATGGGCGCCAGCAGCAACCACACAGACGCGAGTTGTAGCGGACAGCCAATGTTCTGGAGAAAATGTCTGATTTAAGCGACTTTTTACGTGCCAGAAGAGTACCAGAAGCGTCCATTGCACTAATGGAAGAACAAAAGGTGAGAAATCAAATGGGATAGTTCAGTGTCTAAAGCCGAACGGTTATAGCTAGCTGTTAGCATGTTTGTTAGCATACGCGGTTAAAGGAATAAGCTGATTTACAATGTTAGATCACACGGATGAATATAGGATATAACAGCTGTTAATTGCTGGAATTGTCTATAAAGTGTTTGGTATGTTTATTTTATTGTTCTTCTGTTTGAATGTTTTACAATTAAACTAAGGTTAGCTGTATATGTCAGCCACTTTCTAAATAAGATGTCTGCTGTGTTAAACTGCAACTTTTAGTTCAGTAGAGGACAGAAACTATAGTACAAAGTGACAGACGTTTATATATGCATATTTAAAAGGAAAATATCATACAGCCACCGATATACGGCAGGTTGTAGATCTGATCATTATATTTATCAACACCAACTAACGCGCCTATCTGCTATTTTATTTATGTTTATTATATGTTTGTGTTACGACGTTGGAAAAAGTGACATTATGAGCTTAACTAAATCATTTTGCTGCATCGTGTGATGTGTCAGCTCAAGACTGATATTGCATGTCAACCCTGAACTAAACTATATGCACATTTATTGCTCAGGTGCAGAAACGATAGGCTTCATTTGACTAAATCAAACTTAATGTGATATTTAATTTTTGTAATAAAAAGGAACTGTTAATATTTCCTTGTGTGTTTTTATGCTTGATACCTGTTATCTTAAGTAGACTATATATTTATGAATCTGTGTTTTTATACTTACTTGCATGCTAATCAATCCAGTCCTTCCTCTTTTTCAGTAAAATAGAGGACTGAACATTTACTGCTGCTATTATTGTAATTCTCCCCAAACAGTAAATTGCTTTAAGCAGAAACGTAAGGGTACAATCTTAACTGTAACTTTGACGTTGATTTGCAGAGTAAATAATTGTCCTTTCTCATCTTTTTCTGTGCAGATTGACTGTGATGCAGTAGGTCTCATGGACGATGCAACACTTGAAAACTACTTATCTTCATATGGAGACAGAATTGCTGTTTTCAACTACTGCAAAAGCAAACAGCCATTGTCAAAAAGAAAACAAGGACTTCTTCAAAAGCTTCTGGACAAAATGAAGAACAGAAATGAAAGTCCACAGGAGACCATGACACATGAAAGTACAAGACAGAAAAAGAAGCCAAAAGGAACAAAAAATGTTGAGATTGGATGGATACATAGTGATGGAAAAACTACCAAACAGGTGAGCAAAGCAGGGAGGTGGCACCAAAAAAA